AATTTATAGTACATAGTATAAATTTCTAAATATATATTTATAAATATATTACATATATAAATATTATATATTTACAAATTTATACTATATAGTATAAATTTAGTATAGTATAGTATAAATTTAGTATAGTATAATATAAATTTAGTATAGTATAGTATAAATTTAGTCTAGTATGGTATAAATTTATATTATATACCATAAATTTAATATAGTATAGTATAAATTTAGTATAGTATAGCATAAATTTATATTATATAGTATAGATTTAGTATAGTATAGTATAAACATATTTATATATGAATATATAAATAAATAAATAATAAAATATATTTATATCCATATCATTTTTATATCTTTTTACATTATATAAAATATATTTTCAATATAAATATAATAATAAAATAATAAAAATGTAATAATACAGTTTAATTAAATAATGTGGTAGGACACGCGTAAGGCCCACAAAGAACAGACGAAATGGAATCAGCTTTATTCGATCGCAATACAAAATTTGCGTAAGAACTATTCGTCGATTTCTTTATCCATTTTCTTAGAGTTTTATTTTATCATTCGAGGATTGCGTGAAATTCGATCGATCGGCTATCACCGCGCCGTGGCGAATGAAACGCGGCCAGGTAGATTCGCGAAACGTCAAATTTCCAAATTGTTATATAATCGACAGTGACAAGCGCGGCGCGGACCACAGAGCGTCGCGCCGCCGCGACCATCTGGTGCCTCCGATGTGGGGCGTAGTTCTAATTTCGGTGGACCAAGTGCCGCCGTATCTGCGGAGCAATACGTTTTCACCGGCATTTTCGATCTTTGACTGCGCGCACACAATAAAACTCCGCGCGCTGTCTTCGACGCGCCGCGCCGCTGCAACGTCTATCCGCCAATCGGAAATAAACCGTTCGACAGCTATTTCTCGAAGCAATCGGCGTGTGCCGTCTAGATCAGTGACGGCCAGTCTTCTCGAGAAGTGGGTCAAATTTTGTTCATTTCATTATTCTGTTTTTTAGTTCTAGCTCACGGCTCGCTAAGTTAGCGGAAAGCGTCACTTGGAAAGGGAGTGGGGGGGGGGGGGGGGGGGAGGGGGTGAAAGA